TGCCTTAATCCATTAGTACTTTTTCATAAAAATAATAATAAACTATTTTTTTTTTGTGTAAACAAATTTGGTAAGAAATATAAGAAAAATTATAGTTTCTAGTAAAATAAAATTTAGATCTCTAAATGCAGTGTATACTAAATATTGTTTGTAGTATTATTACTAACATTAAAAATATATTTAATTGATGTTTATACGTAAATATTTAAGTAAAATCTTTTATATAATACATTGTTAATTTTTAATTATAGTTTTTTATTTTTCAAAATAATTGTTGCCATTTTTATAGATTATCACCATTTTTAAATTAAATAACCCTTATGATTCCTTATCTTCGAATATATTGTACTCAAGCCTTTTTGCCAGCACGCAAAGACTTTTCAATATTGTTACAAAATTGGCAGTAGAGTAAACTTGGATATTAGAAACCGTACTTGAGCCAGAGGGTACCACGATAAAACTATAGTAAAAGACCTTAGTAGTGCGTCAATTTATATATATATATATATAAGTTAAGAGTAATCCAGGAATAGCAAACATATTTAATATGTTATCATTTCACAAAACCTATCAAAACACAAGAAATCCGGATTAAGGGTAACCCATGTTGACAAATCCTACCAATAGATGAACTAGAGGTAAAGGTAATTTGTTTTCGGTAACATTTTATTTGATTTCAGTGAGTGGATACAAATGTTTAGAGGTTTTATATCGTTGTGAAGACAACATATATGTGACATTTTATGTTACGATGATTTAAGTAAAAAAAAAATATGAGTATTTGGAATGGATACATTTTATAGTATCGTTTTGGAACAAGTCATTAGGTATACACCACCGTTTCTAAATATAAACAGTTACTGTGAATGAACAACAACAACTCATTTAAGTTAAGTTAAATAATATAATTATAATGATTTCTACATTCTAAATATTTTCGCTATTACGCAGTTCGTCACTGTAAAGTATCAGATAAGATCCATTAAATTACTTACAAAAGAAATAGTTCGGAAAGTTTTTTGACTTTTCAGTTAAATATATTTTCTGATTTATTAATTATTATCTACATTTTCGGTTCATTCCTTAAATGGGTGTCAACTATATTTTTTTTAATGATAACCTACATATTGAACTAGCTTGTAAATTAGAAAATGATATAATTAAGAAATTTACCAGTCGATAACGACTTTTACACTTGTATTTCGGAAGTTATTTACATTTTTATACTTATCAGGGGGAGAAGTGCAGGTATGACTATTTTTACTATAGAATATTTTTTGCCTACTCCGCTCCTCTTATCATGTTATGGAAATGTGAAAAACATTTGAAGTACTGGTCCAAAATTTGTTATCGACTAGTAATTTTCTTAACTATATAATTTCCTAATTTATAAGTTAGTTTAATAAGTATGTTATTATTAAAAAATATAAAGTAAACTTCTTTAAAGCTATAAGGGATGAATTCAAAAAGTAATTAATAACTAATAAATCGAGAAAATTCTTAATAATTAAGTCTAGGAATTATATATATATATATATAAATATTATTATGTTTTTTTAAACACACTATATAGTAGTACATATTTTTATTAAATGACTTAAAACTTGGCAATGTGTTGGTACCCAGATTGTAGTTTAAGGTGGCTTAGGAGAGTTTATTCGCTCCCCTAAAAAGCTAAAATATTTCTACATTACTATATAATCCTATGACAAAGTTTTACAAACTTGGGACTAATCGAGCTGACTCAAACAAAATGTTTAAATGTATATAATTGCTTGCCCTATTAATAAATAGCCAAAAAATATTATTGAATTATTTTTATTTTTGTAAGTAATTCAATGGATGATGATAATCGTATCATCTGTATAATTTGATACATCAAAATTCATAACTAACGCGATATCATATAATTTAGAAATCTATAAAATATTTTGAGAATAAATAACATAAAATAAATAAAACCTGAGTAAAACTTTAAACGAAGTTAAGGTAGGAAAATTTGAATTGCATTTTTTATGTAGTCGAAAATATATTTGAATAAAATTAAAATATCATTATCATTAAGTATAACTGTCGAGATATTTGAAGTTATTTTTCAAGCAATTCTATGAAATTTTTTTTACCATTTAATTTTTTTTACTTAAAAAAGTATTCTTTTTGAATATATTTATATTTTTTAATTGCCTAAATGATTGTGAATAATTTAAAGTTTTGAACGTTTAACAATTCAATTTAATTACTTACACTTTTTAAAGAAGAGATTTCCCAATTAATATTAAGTAATAATTCTTAATTTAATTTTTGTTTAGGCTTCTTTTTTAAATTATAATTATTAATTTTCAAAAACGTTTTAAAGTTAATTTAAATATTGTAGATGTGTTTTTCAAAACTTTTATTTAGACTGTAATTAATAGATGATATATTGTTATAAAATTTTACCATTGAAACGAATGTTCTAAAGTTTTTGCAATAACATGGGTATAATTTTTTCTTTAAACTTTTTAAATCACGTACATCTTTAGACACATAAGTTTTAATTTGAAAAACTTTCCTAGCAAATAGTCTCAAAGTGTTGAAACATTATTGTAAGATAATCTCATATGTTCTACACGGCAAATAATATGTGTACTGTTAAATTGTACTCGTATTATATGTGATATGTTTTATAATAAAACACAAAAAAATGTATAAATATAATATTATAAATTAAAATTAAGGTGTATTTATTTAATTTTGACTTGTTTAATAAAATATACTTAATAATATAATAGTAGTTATAAAATAATATTATATGAATAATAATAATAATATAATAGAAATAATACATTGATAATTTTGAAATTTTGTTTCGTTACTATATCAAATAAACAAATATAAAATTTCAAAATTTGCATAGAACAGATATTATAATTACATATTTTTTTTAACTACAGTATAAATCAAATTAACTAACAAAATGTACATAATGAAATAGAAAATCTGTTTTATGAAAAACTGATCAAACAATATTTTGACACGAATTCATCATGGAATCATTTTTAATATTTATTAAAAATATCAAAGCTACAATTTAAAACTTATCTTCGATAGTTTTGTGTTTTATTAAACATATGTTGCAATATATACACTCATATTAGTTTTAAATAATTTTTTAAATATTTCAATTTAAATTATAAGGAAAGCGCAATGTCACAAAAATTATGTACCAAACTGATATTATAGAAATGCTTTGTAATTTACGTATATGATTGCCGTGTAATAAATTATAAAATGATAGTAATAAAACAGTGTAAAACGCAATACGACAAAGGCTAAGACATCACACTCTCCTCTCTCTCTTCTTCTATTCACTCCTTTTTAGTACATCAGCACAGTAGTGCAACAGTCACTGGTAAAGCAGAATAACGTAGCACAGTATGGGATATATTTGTGGACTTGGCTAGTCAATTAGCTATTTAACTCAACACGGTAGATAATGAGTAAGAAACAATCTCGACTGCCGTACGCTTCCTGACACTTACAAATCTCATTTCGGCGTTCAAATTATTTCCGCCTGACCAAAATTTATTTTTAAAAATTTTATAATTAAGGACAACGAAAGATTAACCCTTATAAACACATTTTAGTGGCTAGAAAAATATTAATCGTTTTTCTAAAATAATAAGGTTTTTATGAGTAGTCAAAGATCATTGATATAATTAACTCTATTGTATTATAAGAATATACGGTGTACACACATTTTAAAAGTCTTGGGAGCGAGGCGTTCGTGCTGCTGCAGGCGCCACTCCGAGCAAAAGAAATCCTTAGAACGAAGCTTCCGTGCTGTTGCCGGCGCCACTCGAGGAAGAAGTTCCTGGAGCAAGGCTGTGTAAACGCATATGCCACTCGTAGTTGCTTGACAAACATAAAACCGAATACTTACAATTCAACAAATCAACAGAATAATTTTATACTTTAATTGGTATTAATAACCTTATTATTTTTGAACCCTCGAAACATGACCCAATGAAATATCGTAATTAATTACACGTAGTAATTCACTCGTGATCTACCACAGCTAGTCCTTATACATAAGAGCATAATTTTTATATCCTATAAAATCTTTTTTTTTACTATTATTATCATATTTTGAATTACTACACATAATAATAAGGTGTTTGAAACTCGTTTATACTCACAGGTATTATCATTGTCAACATTAAAAGTGCATAACGTGCTTAACGGTATGCTCGAGTGACATTTATTTGTTTCAAAGTAGATGTTCTTTAATTTTACATAAACGACGGTGATAAATTGTAAACCAACATAATAAGTATTATATTATGATATATATATATATATATATATATATACTATAATTTATTTTGAACTTTTATAAAGTCACTTGGTATTAAATTTTATCTCCATGTCTAAGTACATAAAAATGTTGAGACTTACTCAGTTAATAAAAACACAATCATTTATAGATGACAAGTGGGCAATATCTACATTGTTTGAAATTATATTTATCATTTAATTATCGAATAAGGTAATTTCTATATTTATTTTATCTATCAGTAAAACTGAATTGAAATTTCACATCATTTAGTTATTTATTTACAAAAATATTTTTACTTTTAGTGTACTTGAAATATAAATATGAATATAAATTTATTCGAACAAAATGCAATACTATAATACCAAGCTTAACCTTAATTAAAATATTCAAAGCTTGATTTTTTTTCTTTATGGAAAATGATTTAATATTAAATACTAAACATATCAGAAATATGTATAATTTCGTTAAAACAACATTAAAGTTTTATGCTTACAATGAAGAACTAAACGGCTTTTCTTAGTTAGTTTTAAAATTCTTATAGTAATGCGTTATCATGATTTTTATAATTACGATTTACAGTAAATATATCTTAATTTATGACCACGTTGATTTAAAATATCTATATATCAATGCAATAAAAGTTATGCGACTAATTAATATTAATTTAAAAATTATTTTTTAGATGACATTATGTTTTCCAGTCTTTCTCATAATGCTTACAACTTCTCTAGCAAATCCTTGTACATTCAACAGTATGTGTACTTGCAAAACAGACGAAGCTTTAAGAATGCATATAGCATGTGTGTCAGTTCCGTTTTACACAATGCCGAGTAATTATTTTTTATTAGTTAGAATCAATACTTATACACTATCTAGTAGGCAATAAATAATTGAAAAACATTTTTCAAGCAATGATTCGTTAGAAATATACATTTTTTTTTAATTTTATTTAAGTTGTCGAAGTTGGCACCCGTATAAGTCATATGGATGTAATATCTTCCGAAATCGAAGTCGTAGAAAATGACATACTACAAGATACTCACATTGAGTCACTGCGACTGATGAGCAATAAAATTAGTACTGTGGCGGACAAAGCCTTTGCGTAAGTTAAATTATTTTTAATTAAGAGTAATAAATTAAATATATAAAGCACATTTTAAAACTTTTATTGTAGCGCTTAATGTTTAGATTTAAATTATTCAACGTTTCTTCGGCGAAATTATTTTTTAACACATGCATAAATTGTAAGCCTTATAAAAACACTTTGTATTATTTACTAACACGACATTAAGGTCAAGTATAGAAAAATAAATTGACTTTGCGTATATACTATAAGTATATGATTTCAATTAACTTAATTTATTTGGAGGCAGTCAAAACATCTTCTTATGTATGTCCCCCGAGGAGTAATCATAGTTGCGCTGCTGCTTCTATAATATTTTATAACGCGATTAAATAGTTTTAAGTAAATTAAAAAATACTATAAAATGATTAGTATTAATGTAACATAGTCTTCATCTTTTGATTTCTAACACCAATAATGTCTATATCTAAATAACCTAGGAAAAAACAGACGTTTATGTAAGATTTCATATTAACGAGAGCAACAGTACGACGGCGTTATTGTGATATGTACAACTATAATAATTTAAAAATTCCACGAATAAAATATAATTTAGACATTAATAAATAAACATTGAACAACGTAGGAAAAGTTTGTTTCAGCTTGTTCGTGATATATTATACAGAATGAGATAATGGAAATGGGCGAAGGGGTGTACATTACATTAAAGCCTGAGAGTATTAAGCCGATATAGTCACGAAAAGAGGTAGCTAAAAGAGGCACTGTAGCAATTTGTTACAAGTTAAGTTTATCTAACTTTGTCACTTTTTAATGCTACTTGATAAAAGTTTTTTTATATAATTACGTGATGTATGGTTTATAATTTATTTCCAAATATATTTCTGATTTCACTTGATATTGACCGAAGCAATATTTATTTACTTCAATAGTAATGGTTTCAGAATGATCACTATTTTTAAAAATTGGATTTTAAAATTCAATCTTACTGTAATTATTTCTTTACTTTTCAATAAACTTTTAAGGACATCAAGAACAAGTTCTTTTGTTTATTGCATCTAGACTCTAAAACTACTACACATAAGGCATACTAAATTTACACTGTAAATATTATGTTGGCTGTATTAAGTGAACTATAAAGTTTATGTATTATTCCAAGTCATAAGGCTAAAATATAACAACCGCAGTCGTAATTATCTAAACTGCATAAACCATCTGTTGTTGGTTATTATAACATACAATATTTATTAATATTCCTGAGTATTTCTTGTATAAGTATTGTTTTGTTTGCTGACATTGTACTTAAATTTATACTTTAAAGCAGATAATTAGTTGAAATATGTATTTACACCGTACAATGTATACTAGAATAATACTAAAATATAATAATCAATTTAACATTACAATTATTGTAATGTTAAATTGATTATTTAAGGCTATAAGTATTCGATTTCTCTTCAAAAAATATTATGTTTAGAAAATTATTATTTTTGGTATTTTTTTATTCCATATATTTTTGGAATTATCAGTTATTAATTCATTTTTGAATCTCTTTGATCATTAATAATGCCATCTATATTAGTTTCGATGCGAAACTGAGAAGATATTAGTTTTGTGATGATAAACATTTATTTTATGTCTGTCTATAATTTTTTCCAGTTCTCGCTAAACTTATTTTAATGATAAAAAGAACCTTATTTTATACTAATTTAACCTATTGTCTTTAAAAATTCTCTCAATTTTAGTAATTTTGAAAAATATCTCAAATTACAAAACATTTAAAAACGGCATTTATAAACTGCTGTAATTTCTAATCTGCTATTTTCATAAAAACACTGATTCTTATGAAATTTTAGTTGGGTATACTAGAGACAATAAGCTTTATTTTGGTATACTATTTATAAAACAACCACTAACGCATGTATAAATAATTTTTGCATAAACAAAATTTTTGAAAGTTTTCTGAAGGTCTGACAACTTTTAACCTATATCAAATAAAAGCTTTTAAAATTTACTACAATATTTAAAAAAAATTGTTGTCTGACGATTGTTTTTTTATGAAAAATCGACCGTAAAGTATAAAATTGCAATTTTTTCAAAAAAACATAAATATATATATATATATATATATATATATATTATCTAAAAAATTTAAAAAACATTAAGAAATGAATTTTATATTCTTCATATTTCCAAAAAATATTAATTAAATGTTTATCAGAAGATTATAGGCTATACGATTATATAAATTTTCAATGCATATTTGGTGGTAAAAAAAAATAATTTTACAGGCCTTTAAAATTTCAGTGAAATTTTGAAACATAATTGTAAAATATCAAATATTCAAATTATTGTAAAATTTAAAAGATTGGCATCAAATAATTTTTTATGCTCATCATTATCAGACATCATATATATTTTTCCTAACAATGTCACGTCACCAATAAGCCTCTGTACTTGTTTTTTTAATGGCAATATACATATTTAACTAGATTATGAAATAGAAAATGATCGAATTAAGAAAATGTCTGATTAATAGCAACTTTAGGACTAGTTCTACGGACGGTATTAGCAATTAAAAATATTGACTGGAGGTTAAGTGCGTATATAGTTATTTTTATTATAAGTCATTTCTCGCACCACACTCTACATCCCGCCTAGGTATAAAAATGTGAACAACTTCCGAAATACAAGTCCAAAAGTCTTTAGCAACTAGTAAATTTCTTAATTATATCATTTTCTAATTTACAAGCTAGTTCAATATGTATGTTATCATTAAAAAAAATATAGTTGACACCCATTTAAGGAATGAACCGAAAAAGTAAATAATAATCGATAAATCAGAAAATATATGAAACTAAAGAATTATTTCTTTTTTTAAGAGGAGTTGAGTAGCTATCGTTAAAATAATCACGCTGTATAACTATACTTGTAATATATCATTAATATGCCAAGTTCATTATAAAAATATAAACTACATATTGTACTAAATCAAAAATAAGAAAAAATGAAATGGAAGGGAGAGTTTTATTCAATAAAGTAGAAGAATAAGTTAAAAAATATACAGAAATAGAGATCAAATAAGGTATATACTTGTACTCTCATAGAACAAATAAACCTTTTAATATGGCAGTAAATATGAACATTTCACTAAACGGTTTATTTCTTAAGTGAAGATGAAGTCAACTTCGATGAATATAATTTCACTAAAAATATAGTGTGTACTATTCAAACTTATTATTAATTTTTTTAAATGTAATTAAAGTACACTTAGGAAAATAAAATAAATATTAACACAGAATAAATATATAAAGTTTTCAGTAAGTAAGAAAACGGGTTTCTATTGTTAATAACAATTAACCTGTGTCCTTACTTTTTGGACACTCTATATATTCAATAATATTGAAATGCAATTAAATCTTAATAATTTATTAAACAATCGTATTAAGAGCAAGTGTTCTGTATCATTGATGACTTCATAGTGGACCGGGGGTATATCAGGAAGTTAACCTAATATTGATGTCTTATTTGACAAAGTAATGAAAAAGAACATTTTTTTTAACTATTTTGTCAATATTTCACTATCTCTGTTTCATATTTACTGTTAATGTTATAAGTTTGTGCATGGTGTCATATATTAAAATAATGTGCTTGTATAGAAATATGATTCCATACAGTTGCACTAATTTATAAAAGAATGAGTAATACAATCTAATTTGGTGATGTTTATATTATTGCAATAAAAAGCATTTGAAATTTAGAAAAGGTGAGGAGTAGTGTAGTGTTTAGCGACGAACTATTTTTTCTTAAATGCCCAGATAATAATTCTTCTACATTGCGCATCCAGCTCGTCTATAACCAAAAACTATTAAGACTCAAAAAATAATGATACAATACTGGTTATTGATCAACCAACATTTTATTTAAGACCATTTTGCATTTAATAGCAAAAAAATAATTATTTAACGAAAAAAAGGAGAGGTTATTAACTAAATAAGTCATACTGAATAAAAATTAAAAACAATATTGAGATTTTTTTGGGTGTTTCTTTGAGTTTATTGTTTTCCCCGATTTATTAGATAGTTTATTAGAATGTCTATTCAGATATAAGAAACTCGAGGACATTAATTAGAACAATATAACTGGAACTAAATATAAGATTCTACATCTAATATCAATTTTTCATTTAATAGTAAAAAAATAATAGATCCTCAATTAACTTTTGAAAATTACTCCTAAAATCTACCCTTAGGAATAATTTTTTCTTAAAATAAACTTGGTAAAAATGTCAATTATTCAAGTTATTAGCCACATTTCATGGCAATAAAAGTTTTTCAATCATAATTCATTCACTAGAAACCTATTTACTGTAACATGTGGAAGTAGCTAGTCAAGTTTAAATTTTAGCTTTAAAATGAAAAACTAAATAGAAAATAAATATAAATTATTCATTTATTTTACAGGTCATCAGGCTCGGTACTAAGAGCTTTAGATATCAGTTTTAATCAACTGAATAAAGTACCAATGAAAGCTCTTACTAACATAAAAAGTTTAGATTGGCTAAATTTGCATGGGTAATTATATCAATTCTATCAAATGTATATATCATTAAAAATGATTAAACAATTTTTCAGAAATAATATTGAGAAAATAGAACCTCAGTGGAATCATCTTCAAGATACATTACAACACTTATTTATTGGAGAAAATGACTTGACAATATTTCCTGAGAGTTTATCAAAACTTCGATCGCTCTCAACACTGAATTTAGATAATAATTTAATTACAACTATTTCTACATCCCTCAAAACACCACCTTTACTTGAGACATTGAGTATATCAAATAATTTTTTGCAAGATTTTCCTATTTTTTTTACAGAATTAGGAACTTCATTAAACAGACTATACATTCGAGATAATTATATCGAAAATATGACTAAAATAATACCAAACAGATTTGTAAAACTTGAAGTCTTGGATCTTGGTATGAATCGAATTCAAAGTTGGACAGGTCGATTGTTCGACGGCCGTTCTGAGGTCCGTAATTTACACATGGATATGAATCAAATCGAAGTTTTAGAAGAAAAAGCATTCGAAGGACTACGATCAGTCCGTATGTATTTGTCTCATAATCGGCTTCGAAGTATAAATCATAAAACTTTTGAAGGCCTAGAGAGAATATTGGAATATTTAGATCTAGAACATAACAAATTAGGAATAATTCCAACAGCAGTAAGGACTTTAAAAAATTTAAAATTTCTTTACCTATCGTCAAATGGTCTGAATCATATTGACGTAGCAGACTTTGCGGGTGTATCTTCAAGCTTGCGATCATTATCACTATCAGGAAACCGTTTAACAGAAATTCCTAGTATGGCTTTAGAAAACTGTACGAAATTATCTCATTTAAATTTAGGGTATAACTTTATTCGAGAAATAAAGGAAAATGACTTTGAAGTTTGGGCAGAGCACTTAGATACACTATTACTTATGAACAATAAGCTGACTGAACTTACTGGAAGACCATTTAAAAAGACAATGGTCTTAAGAGAATTAAGTTTGTCTTTTAACAATATTCATTACGTGGACACAGATGTGTTTTTAGATTTAGCAAATTCATTGGAAAGTTTAGAAATCAGTTTCAGTGTCTATTATGACAATTTTCCTGTGAAAATACTAAAACATTTAAAATCTCTTTTGTGGTTAGTTCTTGACAATAACGATATTCTCTCAGTACCAGTTAATTCCTTTCACACACTTGATAAACTTCAGTATATCAATATGGAATCAAATAAAATATCTGTAATAGCTCCGAAGACGTTTTCTTCTACCAATCTAACTTATCTTCGGGAAATAAGACTAAACCAAAATAATTTAATGTCACTAGATTCCAACACGTTTTTAAATTTACAACAATTACAAACAATTACATTATCGAGAAATAAAATAATTGAAATAATGTCTCATGCATTTAACAATCTTCCTAGGTTATTTAATATAGATTTATCGTTTAATAAAATTGAATACATTCAACCGTCAGCTTTTTATAGCTTACCGAATTTAAAACGAATAGATTTACAAGGAAATCAACTAAAAGAATTACGAATTACATCATTTATAAATTCAACAAACTCTAAACAACCATTATTATTAAATGTATCAAGAAACTATATTGAACGAGCTCCAGTGGATGATCCATTAACACCAATTCATGTAAAAATTCTTGATTTAAGCTATAACAATTTGCAGGATATTCCATTTGAACTTTTATACCTAGTGTCTGGTTCAATGAAAAATTTGTACCTGGATCACAATAAGATTTCAAAAATTTATGACTCAGAGTTTGTAAACTTATTTAATCTCGAAATTCTTTCGTTAGCAGGAAATGGAATAACATCTATAGCACAAAAGTCTTTTAGCAATTTAACATCTTTGCAAATACTTGATCTCTCTCATAATAAAATACAACATTTGTATACTGATCAATTAGCAATTTTACCTAAATTACGAATTTTGTCTCTATCTGGAAATTATTTGAATACTATAAGTTGGGATATAGTATCTGGTGCACCATTAGAATCATTGGATTTGTCTAACAACCAGTTCTTAACAGTACCAACTGGAGTATTATTTCATACAGGATCAACATTAAGACATTTATTACTTTCCGGCAACCAAATCGATCATATTGATGGTACTACTTTCTCAGGCATCACAAAGTTAGCTAATCTTAGTCTAGCCAATAACAAGTTGACAATAATTCCTGACAATGCATTTGTAGGACTTTCTAGCTTATTATCATTAGATTTGTCTTCAAATAACTTGAGAGCTAATTTTAAAGAATTATTTCATTATATTCAAAATTTGAAACATTTAAATTTAGCTAACACAGGACTTACTGAAAGTCCATCCTTGCCACTACCTAATTTAGTATCACTCAGATTATCCCACAATAAGTTAAAAACGATATCAAGAGACTCAATGGAAATGTTGTCTCGATTAAGATCTCTTTTCATTGATTATAATGAATTGTCTTATTCCCCTGCAAACGTGTGGTCATATTTGCCATCTTTAAAGTTGCTGGATATATCATCAAACCCTATCAAAGTATGTAAGGTATTTTTAATATTTAATATAATTCTAAATAATTTTTATTAAATCTTAAAAAAATAGTATAAGTGAATAAGCATAATAAGTATACCTACATAAAATAATTACTAGTAAGAATTTAAGTGAAGAATATCATTGATTTTTAAATAAATTAAATTACTTTTGTTTACAAATAAAAACTAATTTTACGTATATACGTCCATAATAAAATAATTATGACATTGAAATAAATTTGAAATTATTAATTAAAAAATTATAGCCGTTTCTAAAATTTAAAAATAAAAAATAAATAAGTCGAGAAAATAGCATGAATACTTACATTCAATTTAAAGGGTATATTAATTATAACTTTCACGCATTCCTCAAAAAAATTCTATGCCTATATTTTATACTTTAAATAGCAAAAATTACTATGAAAATTATGTTAATTTAAAATAAAAATAAAACATTTATAAGAAAATTGAATTTATAATATTATTTTTCATATAAAAACTGCAAAAATAATTTAACAAGATTATCAATAAAGTATGGCTTTATTTTCGTAGAAATATTTACTTACTTCGATTTTCGTTAATGAGAAATGATAGAATAATTTGTTATTAAAAGTTATTTATACATTTATTTTTTATATATTTAAGGTTAAATATTATGTTAAATTTTTAAAATCTACATTCCTATCATAGTAAGTAAACTTCTCAGTTAGTACATTATTATTATTATATTTTAGACAATTACAAAAGCAAGTTTTATGGATTTATCTAGACTACAGCATTTAAGGGCTCAACAATTACACTATCTCGATCGTTTTGATGCTGGGTCATTGTCAAAACTTTCTACACTTCGTTCATTGACCACAGATTGGAGAGAAAATCTTGGACAAATAGTTTGTGCTACAGCACATTCTATTCATACGTTATCAATTTACGTAAATCGGATTAGGTTACCTGGACCTATAGTTGATCATTGTGGTCCAAAAATAGATTCAATAGAAATCACAGGACCTAAATTACGTATCTTGGATCCTTCTGTGTTCGACGGATTACAATTAGGGACTGGTGATAGATTAACTATTAGTATACGAAACACTGCCATTGAAGATTTACCAGCTGATTTGTTATTACCATTAGTTGGTATACCTAAACTCACATTGGACTTAACAGGGAATAAACTAACTTCGCTCAATCCATCAACTATATACTCAAACTATACATCATGGGAGAATTCAGGAACAAATATTTTAAAAGGTATAGATTTTTATTATAATTTTCAAAATATTAAAAATATACAGACTGTTCAAATAGTAATAAGGAAATAGGTCAATTGTTACAAAAAATTACAACAATAATAGCCCGTTTCTTTATTTATTAAAGACCTTATATATTGACTTTCGTAATAATGTACCAAAACATAAAGCAAAATTAAACAATTTCATGTAAAGTGAATATTTCACTACAAAAATATTTCAATAATTTTAAAAAATATATACTATACTATATTAGCCTCTAATGTAAAAATTTTTCTTTATGTTTTTTGTAACTTTATAAAAGGGGCATGTACTATACGCAAAGATACTTGTAAAAGTCACTTAACGATAAAAAAAAGATGACAAAAAAAAGACAACTGAGAGATTTGGTATGAATTGAGCAGCCAAGTAAATACATTTTTTAACAATGTCACACGTGTTTATTTGTAGACCAGTCATTGTTCGTGTCAAGCAAACATAGTATTTTTCTATTGTGTGGTAGAATGAAAAAAAAAACATACTCTAAAGAGAAACAATGTAGTGGTAAGATGACGAAAAGAAAAAAGTGCCCAGAACGTCGAGTATTTAGACTGACAAGTTTACTAGTGTGCAAAAGTTTGTTTTTTGTTTTTCTTACTAAAGGGCTAGTGTCATAGTGACAAAGTGAAGTGCTGACGAAGTGTCGCTTGACAAGCATAAGAGTGAATACGTATAAGTAGTAGTGGCTGTACACCGAAGACGAGGTAGATATCATGTGGGTGGTAATATTAAGGCGCATCTGTGTCGACCAGTGTATATTTTTCTACTTCCACTAACGGCATCTTCTACCACCTTCATCATCATAAAAATGCTCTATCCACTATTTCTTTTGTAGTTATGACTTTTTGTTGCATGACGCTCACTTTCTGTTTCAGTAAAATTTTTTTCTCAATCTGTTGCCATTTACTGTTTTTAACATTTTTTTCTGCGTATTTGTATCTTTTCTGATAAATATTCGATAAATATATTTTAATACATAAATGACATATAATATAATTTTTAATGTTTTACACAAAATTATTGAAACGATAAAAAAATGTCAATGACTACACAGTGGTCTTCTCGGCCGTTTTTTGTTGTTGCTTTCAAATATTAGGTTTCAAAATACTTGCATTCTTTACTTTTCTTTATATAAACTAATAACATATTTTTAAATAGACATTTTTTGAGTATGTTCATTAAAAATTAAATTTACATACATGGCAATATTGACAAATAATTTTAAACTAATAATACCTTTCAAAATGTCCAGTAACATAAGATAAAACTTAGAGTTTATCGAAAAGGGGGTGTGGTTTATAGAATGGCAAATCAAGAATTTATGAAAAAACTAGATTTATGGTTTTTATAGACATTTATGCTGTCACATTTCTATAAGACATGCTTTTAAGTTCATTAAAAAAATCGTCATAAATAACTATAAAATGATCAATAAAGATGCTAAAATAAAATACTGTTTCTACTTGAGTTTGGAAATTTAACGATTAAAATTACTAAACTTTTCACTAATTAGATTAGATTATATCAAATACCTATTTATATAACTTATATAATGCATATCACTCACTCCTTATAAAAACGTCATATTACATAATTTTTTAAGAGATCAATTTAAAAGTTAAAAGTACACAAATAAATTTACTCTTTTGCAGTTTAATAAATAACTGAAGTTATGTCAATTGAACCTAAACACAGATTTATTTACAAGGGGAGATTTGTGTCATAACTACAAGACAATAATAATGAAATCGTGAATATGATTTAATGTTGGTTTATAACTAAATATCCACAGCAAAATTTTGGAAATTTACTAAATTATTCGCTTAATAAAAGGTGGAAATGTTGTACTCGGTAGAAATCCGAGACTATAACGTTTATACTATATTGGAAAATTATAGGGAAACGTTACAGTCAAAACCAATAATAATTTTTAAATCGGCCAGAAATCCAGGGTATATGTGATTAAAAAAAGGACAAATGACTTCAGTCATGTAAAAGTGAGGTCACCCCACTTCATTAAAAAATCGAGGATACGTTAATGGTTATAAAGCTCTTGTCATCGCCTTTAAATGATAATTTTTTTATCTAAAATAAAAATACTGTTAGGTATTATCGTAATTCAGCATCCATTATAAGAAATTTATTTATTGTTTTGTATCATTATTTTTATCGCTTTCCAAAATTTATTAAATAGTTTTATTTTTGATAAATTATGAAATTTCCTTAAAACTAAATTAAAATAGATGAATATAAATAATCAAAAACATATGAGCAGTCTAAACTTTTTTAATTTAATAATTAACAAAGTTAAATTTGCATTCGAGGGTTGTTTTAAAACTTGTTGATCAGTTTATACCGTTAAACATGCTAATATATAGGTATAATGTAATTCAAATATTACAATGACAGTCATGAATTTATATAAAAGTTAGTCGAATTGGTTCTTGAAGAGTTACCAATTAAAGTGTTATTTTCTTAAGTTTTTAAGCCAAAAGTCTTTTCATTCAACTTTTTGAATAAATTATTTAAATTACTCTTGGTTGGCGAAGTTAATTTTAAGAAAATAAATCTACTTATATATTTTACCCACAACTTAAATGTGTACCAATTACAATTAAAAAAAAAACAAGTAGTGTCTATGATATTAAAAAATTCTACGATTATTCAAAATATTGATTTTAATTTGAAAATATTATAGAGTACATTATTTAAAATGTTCAATGTTATATTATCCTTAAATTTTAGATTTTCAAAATAATCTTTTAAGATCCATGAAAAAGTATATTCTACTATGATGTTGGCGGCCGAGCAGGATATTAAAATATAATAAACGAACACTCAATATTTTTAATTTTAACATAATAATCAATAATGCTTAATACGCTTTACTATTTGAAACATATATATTTATTTATATCATTAAAAATAACTTAGAAAACTAGTAGCGTTTCGCCATCATTAGAGCGGTGGAACGTACACTAACATTAACACAAATTGACCGGTTGTTATTAGATAACAAAATAGTGAGATAAATAATACATATAAATCGTCAACAGATGTGTTTACTTATTTATTTTAATTTTATTATTTCTGTTTTCACTAATATTCAGCCCTGCCAGACCGATATTGTTAAAATATACGTCAAAATATCACAAATCATATCTAGTTAAAGACATTAAATTAATTATACGAAATTAAACAAAATTTTCTCGTTCTCCGTACATGGGAAAAATCCCCTCGAAAAGTTATTATTTTTGAAATTAAAAAATGTTTTATTATTTAAAATTGTGATCATATTTTTTTAAATAAGTAAATTAAAACTAAATTGTTTTTAAAATAAAGGGTGAATAACTTATATGGTATGTTTTTATTTAAATTCTTACTTTTTTCCTTTTCATGGGGAAAACAGGTTTAAAATACATTTGTCTTAGAAGTTAATTTTTGAAAATGTTCCCGAAAATCTCCATTCTTTATAACACTTAATTAATATCATAGTGTTAAAATTTAAATATAATTATATTATCGTGATGTTTTCAAGTAAAATTTCCATTTTTATTGCAGTTATAAACAATTAACGAAAGTTAAAATAATCGGACTTTCTTTTGCACAATCGCATCAAATAGTCTTGTAATACTGATTTTAATTACTGTCTTATTTTAATCTATAGCAATTTCCTATATGTCGTCTTACCACTATGTAGTGACACTTTATATCTTACACAATCTTTATAACTATTTTTGAAATAATTATTCAACAAACATTTCAAATAAATTTCAACTCGTTTTTCAAAAAAGTGAATTATAATTGTTCATCCGCGATGTATATAAGTAAAAAAAAAATTCTTTGTCAGTTACTACAATTTTACGATAATTAATCTTTAGCTTTTATAATTAATTTTTATTTTATTTTATTGAATCAATCTGAAAATAATTCACTGATATTCCATGCACTCAAATTGTTCGCTCAATATGTTACAGGCGGTCTATTTCTTGAAGATAATCCTTTACAATGTGACTGTGGGCTATTATGGTTAGGTCAGTGGTTGCGACGATGGCTACGTGAAGCAGTTCAAGTGCACACTCTTGGAATGGCCGAGTCTCAGATGGTCCAATCGACTGTCCGACGTGCAACGTGCACCGACCCTCGAAACGATGCTGTACGTATTCCAATAGCTGATATTTATCCTGAAGATTTGCGTTGCAAGGCCAGTGCTCTAAGTGGTAGCGGAACGGGTAATACTGCTACAAAAACTTCTCACTTGATCATTTGTTTGGTTCGAGCATTGGCCGTTTTTTATTTGGCGACGATTTGGTGTAACGTATGTTAGACTGACCGACATTAATATATATTATGTCAATTTTAGTTTATGTGTACTCTTTTATTAAGTATGTAATCAGTGATTTCGGTCTAATCAGTGAATCTGAGGTGCAAATATTGATTTCAACATTATCATATGATTTAGAAGAGCAGAACGAATAAACAATTAACTATACGTTGACAGTATTTGCACTTCCGTATTTTTTTTACTTACAATCCAGACTTGTGATAATTATGTGTACTATAATTTGTAAATAGTCTATGTATTGATTGTTAACCGACTCCAATGTAAGTTTGGTATACGAATAATCGGTACTTGAAAAGTGTGTAAAAAAAACTCAATTCTTTAAGTAATTGGTTAAAATAGAATAGTTATCAAATCAAAACAAAACATAGAATAATTATCTATGTTGAATTCAAACAATTAAAAAATTGTTAATAATTGAATAAAAAAAAAATGCATGCCCATAATTGTATTTATTACAAGGAACATATTTTATATTCCTAAAAAATTGTTATTTTAGGCGCTGCTAATTATATTATAATTTATAACTTGAACTTTCTTTTTGAATAATCTCACATTGTTTTTATCATATTACATGAGTTCGTACTATTTTTTTTTTTTTTTGTAATGTAGGAAAATATTACCCAGAAATTTTCATTAAGACATAAAATTTATTATATTTTGACCATTCCATCAATGGAAAGTTTCGCTATTGAATGAGAATTCTGTGTTTAATAACGTTCATGCTTGAATAATAATATTAATGTTTCCATTTGAAGATCAAAGGTATTTTTCAATAATAATCATTCATGTTTGATCAATATCATCTCTTTTATAATATTCTATTGATATTTCACGTATTTCTATACATTTAATTAAAGTTTATAATGATAGTTGGATTCTAAATTTATGACTTTATTAAATAATACATTTATTTATCAAAAATCATAATAAGTCTTTATTTGATCTATTGAAAATTATTTATAAATACGTGGATATTTTTTTTAATAAATAATTATGATTATTACAAAAAATCTATTTTCAGAATAGCAAACTAATTTTATTTCAGCAATATTCATATGATTTTCCCTATTGTTTAATTTATCATACGAAGCATAAAAACTAGCCATCCTTTTTACCGAGTAAAAATGTAATCGAACGGAAAAACATGCATATACAGACAAATAAGAATAGGTATAGATATATTTTATATAAAAGAGTATTCGATAATGTAAAACAATGTCTGATCACTAATATTATTGAATTAAAAATTAGTTACAGTTGACTAACTTATAGGCAAACGTTTTATTTTTATTTTTTTCTAAAAGAATTCTGTAATGCAGTGGAGCCGTTCCCTATATATATATATGCATTATGTGGCAATGCATATGTTAGGTAGGTAAATACAATCAATAAATATTTCACCCAATAATGTCTGTAATTTCATGAAAAAAAATGAATAATAAGTAATGAACAAAAAGTCTTAAAAAAATTAGAGGTCATGGTGTCCCAATGAAAATTTATCATGATATTCATATAAAATTTCAAATCGTCGTCATTGCTTTTGCGAAAACTATTCAGACATTTTGTATTTAATACATTTTTACAGGAATATGACTTTTAAATCTTAATTAAAATCAGTATTTAATTATAAAAAAAAAAACTAAAAAATCATTTAACTACTGTATATAATCGTTAAATATGCAATTTGCCCTTCCATTTATATTTATTAAAAGTATTGTAGATTTTTGTTTTGTATATATACTTTTGTTAAAATCTATTGTTCATAGTATTTTTCATTGTTATGTACCATATATGTATAGTATCAATATTATAATATAGTCTTGTTTTGTAATCAATATAAAAAAATAAAAAATTCTAATAATAATATATTTATTTATTTCCCTTTCCTTTTTTTTTTATTCATTAATAATCATTATAATAATATTTATTAGAAAATAAGAGTAAGTATATATGTGTGTATATCGTTTTATTCGACCATTTTTTAACCGATTTATATAAATATCAAGTTTACTAAATTTACAAAGGCCATATCGAATAGTTCATAAAGTACGTGTGCTTACTTTGTATCCCTTAGGGTTGTAAAATAACATCTCTGTGGAATAAATAAAGATTATAGAAATAACAATACAGCTATTTTGTGTGTTTAATAAATGTCCTGATAAACAATTTATCTAATTAAAAAAATAGATTTTTTTTGCTTTCAATACGTTAGTATGGAACGTTTGAATAATTTAATAATTAAAATTATTATTACATTAATAAGATATATTAATTTTAAGCCTAACAAAATTTATTTAGTTTAATTTTAAAAATTATCACCTCACCTCAAATCCTATCTATATTTTTCTTAACTCAATGTTTAAAAAAAGTTAATTTTTTTTCAAAATGTAATGAAGATATGTAAGGGTTTTTATTTTTCATTCTATGCATTAAAAAGCTTGTAAATTGTAAGTGCTCTAAAAATAATAGAAAGAAACTAAACGTTTTAGTAACAATAAAATGGTGATAGGACGGCAAAGGATGGCGTTGAATGATAATTAAACTACCAGATACTGGTCGAAGGCCATAGTAACCACTGATGTAAAATATCGAAGCTTACCTCGTGTAGTAGTATAATAGCCATAGTCAGTTGGTAATTAATGCTCTTGGCCTATAACTCTTCAGTAAAACTATAACTGTAAAACATTATTAAGCGTCATGAAATTCATTGCAACAGATAAAATTTGATAGAACAAATTATTGTATTAAAATACTAAATGATAAAAGTATTTTATTATCCACTCTTAAATTATTTTGATCTTAATGTAAAAACCCAGCACACTGAGGACACAACATAGTTAAACAAGAAAGATTATATACCATAATATAACTATAGGTAGCTAGAACATTTTTTTTTTTTTTTTGAAAGGTAACCTCTTTATTTTAATACACTAATAATTAGATTCACAATAAATATTTATAACTTACACTTAAATCTCTTTATTATGATTATGATTATGATTATTATTTTTTTTTTATATAAAAAGAGCGAGTTAAATGAGGTACCTATCCACCTCTTATATGACTTTACCGCCCAATCTAAAATACAAGTATATATAATTTAAAAAAAAATTATTAGAACACCAAAAATTTTGATGATTTTTCTACTAAAATAAAAAAAAAATTTAACTTCGGAAACAGTTTAAATATAGAATATAAGCAGGGGGGTTCATGGGTGCTGGTGGTTGGGGTGCGACTTTAAATATAATACCGCTAGTTATAGGTATAACAAATTGTTAATTTAAATATAATAAAATAAAACACATAAAATTATTTTAAAGGTCGCAGTAGAAAATAGAAATGAAAATAATAATAATAGCGATTATACTATTATAGCAACCGATAACGACGAGGGTAAATTTAGTTAATTCTAAAAATAAATTACCCAATATAGTAATATACTAATATTACTGTACAAATATACTGTCTGAACGACGTTGCCGGTCGTCCAAAACACGTACATAAGATTGCAGCTGAACAGTACCCACACGCACACCAAACGACAACTCGTTTATAATATACATTTCACAATATTGTTCTGGCGACGCTGTCGGTCGTCCAAACACTATTCGTGTGCGCATGCGTACCGCACATACTGAGGGAAACGACTTTAATGTTCGCACACGCCAAATGTATTATAACTATTTTACTATTTGAAAATTTGCATTTTTAATAGAAATGAAAAATATACAATTAATTTTCTTCTTTTAATTCTTCTTTAGTAGAGGGTGCGATCGTCCCGTCGTCCAAACCACGAGCCGCCACTGAATATAAGGTGTCGGCGGGACAACTTTATTTTCAACTTACAGTGTGTAACATAAGATTTAATATAACATATGTTTGAAGTTTGGAGTATTTTCGGAGTATGTTCAAAAGATAAATTGGAAAAGTTCTACATTTTTATACGTATGTTTCAAATTCTGAATCCTTCTGTATAAGAAGAAATGGTCCGACATTTAAAAAAAGTATACCTAATTAAATATAAATACATAAGTTATATTAAAAAAGTGGTTTTTAATCATACATTTTTCAAACAGCTATGGAAATTTTAAGAAAATTTTTTTTAACAAATTTCGATATTCACTTTTTGTAAGAATTTTAATTTTTTGAAGATTTCACCCATTTACAGAGAACGAAGGATTTTTTTTTTCAATTTTTAAGAGCAAAATATATAACTAGATACAATTTATAATCTATTGACGCATTTTTGAAAAAAATCAGTTTAGTGAGTCCAAAGAAAATGTAAAGATAGAAACAAAATAGAAAACAAACAAAAGAAACCTATTTCCATACTTACTAAGTACTCTATAGAATCACGACTAGATTTTTTTTTAACAATTTAAAATGAAACCTTTCATCTATTTCATAATTCGTTCTATTTTATCTACAAAGAACGAGAAAATACACTTTAAAAAGAATTTTCATTGCAACACTGAAAAGAATAACCCAAAAATTAGTTTTAATAATAATAAAAGGAAATTTATTTCCATTCAATTCCTATTATCGAATGCATACCAGTTTATTGGAAAATTAACAACTATATTCCAATAAAAAGTTTAATTACCACAAGTTTTATTAAAACATTCTACAAAAATTGTCTGTACATTTAATTGTTTACAATGAGTCCTCTTGACTCATGTTAAATAACTTTGTACTATAATTACATTTCACAGCTTGTCTTGTTTAGTATCTTTTTGATGAAGGTCTTGTAACTAATAAATTTGAACATAAATTTAATTTAATATGTTCTCCTCAAAAATAATTATGCAACATCTTACTAAAGAAAATTATAGTTAGAGTAATAATTTCCATCACTCTTTGCATAATATATATATTTCAGTAATTCTAAAATGCGTTACACTGAAGTGAATAGGTCTGTCGGGAAATCAAAATTTTCCCAGTGCGCCTGATCTTACATTTAATTCCTGTGCACATCAGCGATGAATGAACATGTACATTTTAAATATGAATTATACCATTATTTTGTAAAAAAACTGAATTTTTATTATTTTTGAGGATATCTAATAGTTGGTTTTATTATTTATCATATTTTTTTATCCCTACGCTGTAAGGATCTCTTTGAAGTTTTGTATATTTTGATAAATAAATATATAAGAATACTTAAGCTAATGCAAGTCAAAATAAGAATTTATTTATTATTGCATTATGGCAATGCAAATTGAAATTAATGATTTAAAAGAAAGACAAACTTTTTAATATTAAGGACACAAACTTTTGATTTATTATTAAAATATAAGAAAGTACTTATATACTTTTACATTACTCGTATATTATTATTAAAGATTATTTGAATATTCTGATATTGATTAAAAGATTAAGTGTATAATGTCACTAAACGATATTTTTTTGAAAAATTATTTCATAAAAACATCATTATAATACAACATACATTTGAATCAAATTTTATAAACTATATTCTCATAACAAAATTGTTTTTTTTTTAGGTTTTTTAGAGCGGGAAAGGGTGGTGCCCTTTTGCTTTAATTAAATCTTTTGAATGAATAAGTTACTATAAAATCTTGAAATTTAACAGAAATAGTGTTTGATATATTTAAACAAATTGATAAGAAGCTCAATAATTAGTATAAATTATTTTAAGAGTTATAAATAAGTTTTAAGTTAAATTTATTATCTTGTAGCAAATCTGGGCAAGATGTTTTTTTAATGGAGTAAGTTGACTTCTCTTAGTTAAATTTAAGCTATACTTACAAAATCTATTCCATAATTTAGAGGATGTCCGTCTCCTTCCCCTTAAGAAGCTTTGGATGTATTGAATTATTTTTAATTAGTCTAAGGAGTTATAAAAAATAATAGTGTAAAAATATCTAAAAGGGTGACTATCTAAAATACGCTCCTGAATAATTATTAGATTTATTTTCTATAATAATTTCATAGATATAAAAGTAAAAAAACAACTTTCTCTATTATATTTTTTATTCAAAAATCCTCTCAGATCTAGATTTATATTTATTTGTAATATTTTTGTTCGGCTATTTTAATAAAAATAAAACCCAGCACAGGGGGGTCGCGGCACAATTGTGACGTGGCATAGATGGATCAAGTATAATGATATCTGACAGTGATTAAAATCACTATCAAAAAAAAAACGCTTCGATGCACATCTTTAGATAGTGTTTAATTTTAAAAAATTGATGTATTATTCCAAAAGCTACATTAAGATAAAGTATGTCGAATGAAAAAGAGATTATTAAAAAATATTATTTCTCATAAAAAAATTGTATTGATCCATACATTTTTTAAAAAGTTATAGCCTTTTAAAGTAAAAAATGTAAAATATAAAATCGAGAAATTTCACACAAAAATAGCATTCGTTAGCCATTTTCACCACGAAGACAAGTCCAGAGGTCAATTTTTTTTTTTTCAAATTAAAGTACATTACATTAATTTTAATTTAAGATATATATAAAAGTGTCAGACCTTTCGGAACATTTTCAAAAGTTAAGTTGAAAAAGATAATTTTTTGTAAAAAAGTTGTCATTTTAAATCCCCCCCTGTGAGCTGGTTAAGTGTTAGATTTACAAAAATTATACGCCAACTGATAGGTAAAGACATCAAACATCTATAAAAAAAAATTATATTGATATGTTCATTTTTGAAAAAGTTACGGCAGTTTTTAGTAAAAAAAATTGAAAAAATTTCGAAAATTAGCGATTTTTAAATTTGTAATTTTTTTGGAGGTTTCCCCCGTTTACGGGGAACGAGGGAAATTTTTTCAATTTTTGAGGGTAATGTCTTCGACTAAATACGATTTGTGATCTTTTGACGTATCGTTGAAAGAAATCCGTTCGGTGAGAGCTGAGAAAAAGTGGTAACAGATACAAAAAAAAAAAAATAAAAAAAAAAAACATCTTAGTAAAACCAATACCTTCTCAGCTTCGCATCGAAGCTAAAAATTATTTAACTTATTAACACTTAAATAAAACCTTAGGCCGTTAAACAGCAATATAATATCGATTTTGCAAAAAAGGTACATGTATGAATATATATGAACAATCATATTTGTTCATATATATTATCGAAAAAAATAAAATATTGTTTGATAAATATTTTTATAAATATTTCTACGATAAATTCGGAATCATACTTTTTTAAATCTAAGAAGTTCATTTTGCCCTAAACGTCAATCTTCCCCGTTCTCCCCTGTTATCATATAACAAGTATTGGGAACAATAATCGTGAAAAGAACAGCTCAAAAATGTCCTTTAATGTCCTTAATTAGTCAACGCTTCAATTATTTTCAATGTAAAAGTACAAAATTTATATTTAACAGCTAATAATAGCATACGACAGAGTTAGTTATTAAATGTCTTTTAGACTGAACCGTGTTAAAACCACACTAAGTTTTCCAATCTTAACCGTTACTTTTCGCATTGAAGATATGATGTATATCAAACACATCCGAGGATATAAAGTTTTGAAGGTTCGATAAGAAATCATTCAAATACAACTGCTGTTAGAGCTTACGAATATTTTGATATGTTGGATGTTATGTTTTTGTTGGCTTAACCTAAAACTTTTAGGCCCTTTTAAAGCAAAAACTCTTTGGATTTGTATACATAACTACAAATACCCATTTATATTGTTGTTTGTTTAGTAGGAGGTATATGTAATGATAATAATTTGTTTTAGGCAGAAAGTTATTTAAAGCTATTTTAAACTAAACAAAGCATACGTACATTATTATATCATTTATTACAATACATTTTTAGAATATACACATAACTCAAAGATGTAACCAAAGTTAAAAAACATTTCAGAAATTGAACTATATTATGTAGAATCACAATAAATGTAAACATATATTCATTATAATCAGAGAATATAATCGCTATGTTTGTTTGAATTTATTGACACAGTTCATTTATCCTAATACAATATGGTTATTGAATAAAGGAAATCTAAAGGGGTTTTGAGATAATTATATTATTATTTATAATTCGCAATGTAAATGTATTTAAATTATTAATGACAAATATTTTTCCTTGGAAATAACTATTTATTTTATTTGTATCACGCCTGACAGTTAATAATAGCAAAATTCGATGGATTTGAATAAATTATATATTTTTTACTGGTACCAAAAATGAATATTTATTTAATTATTATGATGATTATATATTTTTTTCAGTTGTTTCCAGCTACTTATGATATTTTTTTACGAAAAATTTTTAACATTATTGTATTGTTTTTTTATGCGTGACTATGAACGATAAAATAACGATGGCCAATTTAACTAGTCATATTATGCTATAAGTATCACAAAACGCAATAACGTTTAACTATGTTCTTTTACTCATTTCTCTAAACAAGCAATCTACTTCTAAATATTAATAATAAGGAATTAACAGTTTTACGTGTAAGAAATATTAATTTGCATATTTCTCATATCCACATATACGATTATAAAAATGTCATAATAAATACCTAATAATTTGTATCTAAACTATTGATTGGAAAACTTAATGAAAACATATACGCCTAAAAATGACAAACATATTAAATGTAATTTTTAAATGGATTAGAATAAAAATTTATTTTTTTATTGAAAATTGTGAACTTGTACTTAAATGAAAAGAATAGGAAATAAACAAAATTACAGTAAACAAATCTTTTGAGTTTATATCTTCAAACTGCTAAATCATATGAACAGTGGAAGTTTTCCATTAAAATTCCTTTTACGTTCATAGAAATCTCTTTCAAAAGAAAAAAACAAATTTTTATTTATATAATAAAAAATCAAAGAAGTTTAAACACAATGATAGGCTTATAGAAATGTATTTATTTGTATGAAGTTTTTTATTTTTTTTTCATATAATAATATCAAGGGGGTTGAAGTTCAACAAAAAAAATTAATTATTATAGAACTATTTCTTATTTTTTACTTGTTTCTCAGACAAGGGAATGCAATGTAATAATCTATTAGCAAAATTATAAATAATAAATAACTTAGGAAAGACAATATATTTTAATTGATATAATAATTTCAATTTAATAAATTAATTATAAATTTAGTGGCATTAAGAATCACAACAACAAAAATATGATAATACATAAATAAAATAAAAAAAGATAAAATGAAATTTTATGCCACAGACACAGTACTTAACAATAAAATCAAAAAAAAGTATAGATATCCTGCGAATAACGAGAAAAAAGAAACAAGGAAAATAAAAAAACAATTAAATGGTATTTTTATTGTTTTGTGAAAATGTGCATTGCACCCCAACTGTTTTATTAAGAGCAATAATAATGCTACTTTTTTGTCAAAAAAGGAACAGTTTTTTTATCATATGTAGTATTATAAATATCAAAATAATACTAACGAATGAAATTTGATAATATCGACGCAATTCAAAAATCATCTATGTTGCACTATGATGTTTTCTGATGATAACATCAAAGCACATCAAAATGTAAAATATTTAAAATTTTCGAAATCCCCATTGACTATTACCAAGAATAGTTTAACATGAAATGACTATCTATATCATATTTCTGTATTAAATTACAATATCCATTGATTTATTTTTATTTTTTCTATAGAATCGTTAATATTTATTTCTTTCCGTTGTTAAAAGGTGAGAACTAGCAACCATTTGAAAATGCGTTGACCTAATTACTCGTATTCCCGTAAAAACGAGCGTATTATTCATTAAATGAACGTTTTATTGTATGGCGTCAGTAAAAATTGTATGAAACTGGACCCATGTGAACTCCTTTTCGATTTGTATAATTAAATAATACTACCTAGATTGGCGATTTTGAAACAACTAGATAAAACAGACTAAAAATAAATGTTCCAATTAAAAAAATAAATATGTAAAAATTTCAGTAATAGCAAACAATTTCAACATATTGTTTATAGAGAGTATGTCAATCAGTATAATATAACTTAAAAGCATGAAATTGTTTTTAAGATAAATATTTATTGAATGAAATATAATTATTGTACTTAATATTAATACCTTTGTTAAATATTAAATAAATTTTTTAAGTATCATAATGCAGAGTACTTGTATAATAAATTAATATTATTTTATAAACTTAAAAAAATGATTTATATAAAATTACAGCCCAACACCAAAAACATTTATCAACTATCTTCATAATATATTTTTTCAATTATAAAATTCTGTTTAAAATCTGTTTGGCAGATAGAACAATTATAAATAATACAATATGTTCTTTTGGATTTATGAAACATTTTATGATCTTTTTATCACTGTTTGAGTAGGCGTGTAAAACACTGTTTCACGGAATGGATTCCTATTTGGAGATCCTTCAGTTATCACACTTTGAGTTTCTACTACAGTGACTCCATTATTATATCTGGTAACTGTTTCTTGACCACTTATTGGAGAAATTGACCCAGAATTAAGTATTGAGGGGTTATTGTAGTAATTTACCATTGGTAACCCCATAGCAGGTCCCATTTGAGAATATTGATAACTATATTCTGGCTTCGGTTTCAATAATAACTGAGCTTGATTTACTCCTGAACTGGTATCCAATGGATCTATGTAAAACACAATTGATTTTATTAAATTTTTGTATAACCAGACGATAAAGGTTCTTTTTATAAGAATTAATAATAATTACAATTAGTAACACTTATTAAATTATAAATATTTAAGTATAACTTCATAAAGCATAAACATACATATAACATAAAGCTTTACATACTTCCAAACATGATTTCCCTCATTAGTTCATTTCTATTTAATTCCGATTTCAGATTTTCAACATCTATACCTTCAGATTTAACTATGCTACTCGATGAAATAAATATCATCATCGAAATTAAAACCTTAAAAGACAAAAATAAAAAAAATTGAATTGTGATACTTTTGTTGAAAAATGAAAACTCAATTAATGTTATATTAACAATTATACATGTCAATCTTAAAAATCGATTTTAATATTGACATTAATTCACATAAAATTAATCATACCTTAAACATTTTCATTTCATTTAGTGTTTTGGGTTTAATTAAAAATATTAACAGTATTGCAAAAACGTTTTAACGATGACAAAAACTTTATTTGAATGTCAAAAAAGTAGCTAACATTTGTAGAGATAAAAGATAGGTTATATTTTATAATTTATAGTAATTGACATTGAAATGTTAAAAATGGGCTATTATACTATTGTAACGTGTAATTCCATGATGATGATTTTAAAAAAAACCTTGATGAAAACACAGTTTTTAGGTATAACATAAAAATGATTTGAATTTATTTCATATATTCATAACTACAAGATCTGTATCTGTATTTTTCATTACTATTTTGCTAAATAGATTGTACAATATCAAATATGAATAAAAGATATAGACCAAACATAAAAAAATCATTTTAAGTATTAAACATTTTTTTTTTTAATAATTACTTAATATAAATTATAGAACAAAAACGTTCAGTCTTAACGTTTATGTTATGACATTTAATATTTGGAAATTAACAATGTGAGTAGTAAAAATACATTTATATTTTTGGAAAATTAAATTATGTCTAGGTTTAACTGGTAGCTTTATGGTTAGTCAAAAAAGAACAGTTGCTTAGTAATTTGTGTTTCTCGTGAATATTCATTTTTGTTTTAAAACAATTTCTGAAGAAAATACTGAATTTTTGAATATTTTATTCAAATTTGTGTAGCTAACAATTGTAACAAAACGGTAGAGTACTTTTAAACATTATAATAATTCGATTCGAAAATATTTATAAATCTCCTAGATACTTTTAATCATCGTTAAAAGCATTTCGCGTAACAAAATAATTTCATTTTACTAAAAATACTATTTTAAATTTAACATAATGTATAAATAGTACAAAAGTATGCGTCCTATCTTAGTAAAAATAATTCTCCATACCAAAATTAAATATGTTGAGTAGCTTTAGAGCTAATTGTAATAATTAACAATGGAAAGCTGCCCTTTTACTTTCTTCACTTCACCACCTGTGGCTTCTTACCCAAACGCCACACACATATTTTGTTTGATAAGAACATTATATATAAACTACCGATAATCGTACCACGTACGCTTATTTAGTGGTGAAATGGGACCAAGTCGATATATATGAAAGGGGAGAGCAGCAGCAGAATGTGCTGTGACAGAGAATTACGTGTACACGAGTCTAAATGTAAATAAAAGAGTAACGCGAGAGATAATAATAATTTCAATATTGCATGTACTGTGTAGGTACGATTAATACGCATATATTTCCCTACTTTATAATGGAGATTAAACTGGAAAAACACGCCCACGTATAAGCTACACTCGACTGTCTCATTACATTCTCGAGACTAATACTTGTAATGCAAGTTATATTGCTATCGTTGTTATACGGTTTTGCGGGGACTAATTATTGACGGTTAATTGCACTAGTTGAGTGCATACTGCCGAGTACGTGATGTGATTAATTATAAGTTAAGACTCCTGAAGTCTATCTTAACTTCATTGTTCTAAGCTAGTTTAATACAAAATCGGCAATAGAAAATCCACAACTACCTATGAGTTACCATTTATTAGACATTAAATCATATAATTCATAACTAGACACTTATCACGATGAACACGTCAGAAAATTGATTTTATCTAGATAATTTATTACCTATTGTTTAGTAGATGAATCATATTTTAATCATTAATTTATGTCCAAGAAGATCATTTTAGGTTTAAACAGTTAACCATGAAAACATTATGCTAAATGTCAATGAACACAAATATAGTTACAATAACCACTAAATTAACCGTAACCATGCCAAGTTACTTCAACTACAAATCATTACATTATTTTAATGTTCTATCAAAATAAGACGATGAAGAAGTTTCCAAGAAATTTATTGGTTGTAATTTCCAAGTAAGAAAAAAAAATTATTCAAAAATAAAAATTTAATACAAAGTAATTTAATTTGAAATTAAGTACGATGCTATTAGACATAGTACGTATATTTTATTAGCAACATTTCAACTTTCTGATGGGCCCTTCGAAATAAAATTGAGAATAGGTAACAGCTGCATTATGACAAGACCCGGAACTACTTACAAACACGGTAATTATTATTTACAATGTTGAAAAAATTCAGCCCAATAATAATATGTTTATAATCTATTAAATATTTCTAGAAACAGTGTGGTTATTTTTTGGCTATAGAAGAAATATATGATACCCCTGTACCTGCTCTTTTGTTAAAAATATTTTGATAACATTTTAAATTACGTTTCCACGCCACTGAATTCAATTTAAAATTACATATTAATAATTCTTGATTTATAACGTTTGTATTGTAATTGTTTGTATTTTGTTACAAACAATGAAATCTGTTAACAGAAATTTATAAGTAGTTATGTGCAGAGTTGGGAAGGAACTCGTTCCCAAAATGAACGAGTTCTTTTTATAGGAACGAAGCTAGGAACTTCTTAATAATACATTTTAGATTTAATATACCTCTTACTTCATACCATAATAAAGCTGTTGATAACATTATTTTAAATTTGGTTAAAAATTACCTATTATTACTCCCCACAAATGATAATATGTAAACAATGTTTATTAAAGTATGTGTTTAATAAAATTTTAAATCCAAAATATATATTTTGTTATTTATTTTTATAGATTATAATTTATCTGATTGAGTTACCTATTTTTTTTTAATGTCAGTATAATCACTAAAAGACAACCCCCTATTATTTATTCTAAATTTCATAAGTTCAATTTTTTTAAATTATCTATGAACATCTTTAATCAGAATTATCATGTAAATAAATGCATGCTAAATAAACTCTTTAAAGCTCCTCAAAATGTAAGTACAAATTTATTCTTCGGACATATTTTTGACTACCTTTCTACACAAATTTACTACTTCCATTATAAGCTCATTACTAACTCCAAGTCATTTTATCGTCCATTTTCAAGTTTATTTTTTAAAAACGTCACATATCCTATTGGCTAAAATTTCTCTATAAAATCTTCTTTTAAAGCTGCACTTCCATAAGTCGGATTTCTCCTCCAAGTTCTCAAGAAAAATGAACAAAAATTTTACATGCATAAGTGCAACCATTTACTTCATCTACTTTGTCATATTGTTTGAAAAATTTGCACACATTATCACTTCCATCAATACATTCAAGTTTAATCGCACAAGTTTTTTATGTGTTTGTCATATTTTTATTCGAATATTCTTTCAAAATTAATGCCCTAGACTTACATTATTATCTATATTCTCTATTTTAATAATACCCTTATAGAATCTAGTTAATCTAGATCTTAATTCATCTAACTTACCAGTAAAATCTAATTTTAAATTTTTGCTAATATTTATGAAAACAGTTTTCTTTAAAATATATATTTCAGTTTATTATTACAGATTCTCTTGTATCGTTCATATGCCATTAAAAATAAATAAAAAGATCAATTCAGTATTAGGACTAAGTTATCAAATTATAAAAATATATAAAATATTACATAATAATTAAAAAATATAATTAAAACTAGATAAAACGTATAAAATAAAAACGCATTCATCGATCAAGTAATACGTTACAGTAAAGACTTATTGTACAACATATAAATGAGATTACCTACGCTGCTCCCTAACCTACTCACTCTGACAGTTCACACAATCCGTCTCATTTACTAAAACATTTGTTTCTTTTCATTTTCAAAATCTACACAAAGTTAATAATACAACAATTCTTAAAAATGTTTAATAAAATATGTACTTCCTTTTCTAATGACAATAAATCATGATATTAGAATTATATCAAACACTACAATGTCAAATAAAATGTTTTACTTTTTGCTTTAAAGACAATAAACTATATTACAGACTATTCAAAAAACTAAATACGGCTCTGATTATGGTACTTATACTTAAGCTTTAAATAATAATTATATTTAATTTCGATATAGTTTTCAATAAACATTTTTTGGTTAAAATATAATTTTGTATAAATTTTAATATGTAGTAATTAATAAATTCGAACATAGAAAATATGTTTTCAGGTAAAGTGAGAAAATTACTAGACAACCAATGTTACAAAATTTAAAGATAAATTAGAGTACTCTAGTTACCCTGACGACAAACACGGTAAATCTCAAATGACCAAACCGAAAATTATATGCTCATGAAGTAAATATTGTCAACTTAGAGTTATTAAACATTAAATGTTTAATATTTTAAAAACATTGAGACTTAATGTAAAATCTTAAAGAATTTTTATATTTCTGCAAAATTAAATTTTTTTTTACAAACATTTATAAATTACACATTTACTACAGACTATTTTATTTATTCTAATCCAATAATAATTAAGTTAAACTTTTTCTATTTTCAAAAATTGTTTTATACCACTTAAAAAATTGCTAATCTTAATTATCAATCAATTTTTTATCATTAAATAACAAATAATTATTAATTTGTCCGAAAATTATCAATATTTTTTATTATTATGATAACTTACACAATTTTTATCTTATCTGAAAAATATTGAAATTTTACAATCTAAAATAGTATTAAACATTGATAAACCACTCGTAGAAAGTTGAAAGTATTTTCTCAAAGATGTAATCGAAGGTATAGAAAAATAAAAAAACCTAAAAAAATTGTCAGAAGCCTTGGGGGTTTTATTATATATTTATTTGATTTTTCACTTGAGCGTGCACAGTAAACGAAACAAGGAGTTAGAAACACTAAGAAAGAAAATAAAGAAGAAACACCTTATTCTTTATTTTTTTCTAACTAGCAGAAAATGGACCGTCTTTTACTTCTTTCTTGCCATTCTGACAGCCGTTTTGAAATGGAATTTATGATGTACCAAACACAATAGACAGTAACTATTGGAACCCAATGTATTTTCTATCCTTCGCAACTCATAAAGTCATCGAAGTTTTAATTTTGCAGCCGTCATGGTCAAAACCTATCACTGCTTATAGTTTTCAATATGTATTGAGAGTAAAAACAAGCAATATTTCACAAAGACAAATAACTACTAAAACAATTAGTCTGTTTATAGTCCTAACACACTTTACACGTAATGATTATTTTTAAATAAAATTATATTATA